GCCACCAGCCCCGGAGGGCTGCATGGGCCAAGTGTGGGAGGGGACCAGCCCCTGGTGGGCTGGTGCGCCCCCCCACCAAGGCCCAAGGCGCAAGGGAGAGTGGAAGGGGGCAAACCCTAGGTTCAGATGGGCCTAAGGCCCACCTAGTGGTGCGCCCCCCTCTCTCCCCCCTTGCCCCCCCCCTAGATGGGATCTAGGCTGGCCACCACCCCTAGGGGTGGAAACCGAGGTGGGGGCGCAGCCCCTTCCCTCCTCCTATATATACTTGAGGTTTTGGGCTGCCATAGACATGATTCAATCTCCTTCTTGGCGCAGCCCTACCCCTCTCCCTCCTCGTCTCTTGCGGTGCTTGGCGAAGCCCTGCTGGAGTACCACGCTCCTCCACCACCACCACGCCGTCGTGCTGCTGCTGGATGGAGTCTTCCCCAACCTCTCCTTCTCCCCTTGCTGGATCAAGGCGTAGGAGACGTCACCGGGCTATACGTGTGTTGAACACGGAGGTGTCGTCCGTTCGGCACTAGGATCATCGGTGATTTGGATCACGACGAGTACGACTCCATCAACCCCGTTCACTTGAACGCTTCCGTGTAGTGATCTACAAGAGTATGTAGATGCACTCTCCTTCCCTCGTTGGTAGACTTCTCCATAGATTGATCTTGGTGATGCGTAGAAAATTTTGAATTTCTGCTACGTTCCCCAACAGATACAAGTGCAGTATTGATAGTAGATATTGATTTTTGTAATACTACCTCCGTCTAGGTGAATAAGTCATTTTCGTAGTTCTAGGTCATCGATTTGAGGAATAAATATGTGTTATATGTCATGAAAAGTATATCACTAGATTTCTACACGGATGTAGTTTCTAAATATATATTATTGTCACATATAATACATATTTAGATAGTTAAATCTTCGACCTAGAACTACGTGAATGACTTATTCACCGAAACGGAGGTAGTAGGAACAATAAAACATAACAAGGTAGCAATTGATAAAACGAAGCACAAACGGTATTGCAATGCTTGAAAATGAGGCCTAGGGTCCATACTTTCGCTAGTGCAATCTCTCAGTAGTGCTAATATAATTGGATCATATAACCATCCCTCAATGTGCGATGAAGAATCACTCTGAAGTTCATATCTAGTGGAGAACATAAGACGAAATTGTTTGAAGGGTACGAAACCACCTCAAAGTTATCCTTTCCGATCGGTCTATCAAAGAGTTCATACTAAAATAACACCAAGTTATCCTTTCCGATTGATCTATCTCAGAGTTCTTGCTAAAATAACAACATATGATACATATCAACCAACTCTAATGTCACCTAGATACTCCAACGTCACCGCGAGTATCCGTGAGTTGATTATACGATATGCATCAAACAATTTCAGATTCATAATACTCAATCCAACACAAAGAACCTCAAAGAGTGCCCCAAGATTTCTACCGGAGAAACAAAAACGAGATCATGCATCAATCCCCGTGCATAGATTACCCCAATGTCACATCGGGAATCCGTAAGTTGAGTGCCAAAACACACATCAAGTGAATCAATATGATACCCCATTGTCACCACGGGTATTCCTAGCAAGACATACATCAAGTGTTCTCAAATCCATAAAAGTATTCAATCCGATAAGAACGAAATCTCAAAGGGAAAACTCAATTCATCACAAAAAGATAGAGAGGGGAAACACCATATGATCCAACTATATTAACAAAGCCCGCGATACATCAAGATCATGCCATATCAAGAACACGAGAGAGAGAGAGAGGGAGATTAAACACATAGCTACTGGTACAAAGCCTCATCCCCAAGGGTGGACTACTCCCTCCTCATCATGGTGGCCACCGGGATGATGAAGATGGCCACCGGTGATAATTTTCCCTCCGACAGGGTGCCGAAACAAGGTCTAGATTGGTTTTTCGCGGCTACAGAGGCTTGCAGCAGCAGAACTTCTGATCTAGGGTTATTTCTGATGGTTCTATTTATAGGATTTTTCAGCGTTGGAATCACTCGAAGATGGGCCTCGAGGTGACCACAACCCACCGAGGCAAGCCAGGCCCCTCTGGGCGCTCTGGTGGGTTGTGCCCACCTCGTGGCTCTTCTGGCCAAAACAATATAAAATTATTGTAAACATGGCATGAATACTTCATAAATTATAGTTATGTTGGAGACGTATCAAGATGGTGGTGGTGCAATCCCGGCAGGGCTTCGCCAAACGCTGGCGGAACCAATCTGAGGAGAAAACAGAGTTTTGGGAGAGGTAGGGCTGCTACCGGTGTGGGATTTGGTGTGTCCAGCCCCTCCCTCTCCCTCACTATTTATAGGAGGCAAGGGGAGGCCTGGGGCGCAACCTTGGCCCCTCCTCCCTGGTGCGGTTAGGCCTAGGGAGGTTTCCTCCCTTCCCAAGGCACCTCGGGGGGGTGCCTTCCACCCTTAGGACTCTTCCTTTATCCTTTCTCTTTGCGCATGGGCCCCTTAGGGCTAGTGCCCTTGGCCCATATAGGCCAAGGCGCACCCCCTACAGCCCATGTGCCCCCGAGGCCGGTGGACCCCCGGACCCCTTTCGGCACTCCCCGTACAATACCGATAATGCCCGAAACCTTTCCAACGACCAAAACAAAACTTCCTATATATAAATCTTTACCTCCGGATCATTTCGGAGCTCCTCGCGATGTCCGGGATCTCATCTAGGACTCCTAACAACATTCGGTTACCAATGCACATATCCCAATACTACTCTAGCGTCATCGAACGTTAAGCTGCGGACCCTACGGATTTGAGAATCATGTAAACATGACCGAGACACCTCTCCGGTCAACAACCAATAGCGGGACCTAGATGCCCATATTGGTTCCTACATATTCCACGAAGATCTTTATCGGTTGAACCACGATGTCAAGGATCCAGTCAATCCCGTATGCAATTCCCTTTGTCTGGCGATATGTTACTTGCCCGAGATTCGATCGTCGGTATCTCCATACCTAGTTCAATATCATTACCGGCAAGTATCTTTACTCATTCCATAATACAATATCTCGTGACTAACTCATTAGGCACATTGCTTGCAAGCTCTTTACGATGTTGTATTACCGAGAGGGCCCAGAGATATCTCTCTGTCACACGGAGCGGCAAATTCCAGTCTCGATCCATGCAACCCAACAGACACCTTCAGAGATACCTGTAGAGCACCTTTATGATCACTCAGTTACGAAGTGACGTTTGATAGCACACAAGGCATTCCTTCGGTATCCGGGAATGGCATGCTCTCATGGTCTAAGGAACTGATACTTGACATGAAGAAAGCTATAGCAAATAAACTAAGCGATATGATCTGTTGCTAAGCTTATGGTTGGGTCTTGTCCATCACATCATTCTCCTAATTATGTGATCTTGTTATCAAATGACAACTCATGTCTATGGTTAGGAAACCCTAACCATCTTTTATCAACGAGTTAGTCTAGTAGAGGCTTACTAGGGACACGGTGTAGTTTATGTATTCACACATGTATTTAAGGTTTCGATCAATACAATTCTAGCATGAATAATAAACATTTATCATGAACGGAAAATATGATAATAAACAATTTATTATTGCCTCTAGGGCATATTTCCAACAAAGCAATGGAGCATGTTTGATCTTAAATTGGTTAGATCCACTGTCGAATTCATTTGCTACGCACACTCGTTTATACAATATTGGCAGATCTACAATCTGAAGATGAGTGAATGGTGTTGGAGCAAGGAGTTGCGATGTTGCAAAGGGAGGCTTTGGCAGTTTGCGACGATGGCCATGGAGGGGGAAGGGGGCGAACTCTGTGACCGGTGGCGGGTGGATCTGGAGAAGTTAAAGAGGGGGTCAGAAATGATGAAACAACTATGAAAGAAAACCGATGCTTTTGGAAACTGCCGATGGAAATGATTTTGGAGATGATCAAGAAATTTTCTTGCATGGAGTATGATCTTTAGGAGATGATCTAGGGTGATGTATGATCTTTAGGAGATGATCTGGGGTGATGTGTGATCTTTAGGCAATGATATGGAGTGCCATACTATGTTGTTTTCAGTTTGTGCTGATAGCTTAGATGTCGTGGGTCCACAGGGCTTTGTTTGCTAGGCCTTTTGCTTTCTTACACGTTTGCTACGGGATGTTATTTTGCTATCTTTTTGTTCCATTATCGTTTTACAGTGAAACCCAGTCC